CAGGTTCGTGCCCTACAGAAGGGCACGAGCCTTTCAGTACCCGTGGATCGGAACCGAGCCCGGGAGCATCGTACTGGTGGTTCGACTGGTCCTGGGAAGGTTCCACCGAACCGAAAGCCAGCACGCCCCAAGCTGAAGATGCCCATTCTCGACGCTGGTACTTCCGGATTTTGGCCGGAGTATTGTGGGAGATATGGGAAGGGGGGTTGACCTGGTGCGGCACCCTGTGTGCCTCCATTGGGCTCGCTGCAAGGTGGACCTATTGGCTGGCCACCACCACCATCCTGCTGGGTATGCTACAACTTACCTATTGGACCTATACGTGGGTCGTCAGGCCCATCATCGTCGTCATTGGGGCGCTGCTCCAGTACGTGGCGGGCCGAGGAACCTGGGAGGCCGTGCTGAGGGGGCACGGCGAAAACCCATACCACGTCAGATGGACAGGACCCCAGGGTGAGCATCCCTGGTCGGTCACATACGTTCAAGATCAAGTAAGAGGGAGAGGTGAACAACAGCTCCCGTACGATCTTCTCGTAACCGACGGGGTAGCTGTGGCCCGCTTACGGCACGGAGCCGTACGGGGACGCACCAACCGTCATGGGTTCCTTTGCAGGTGTGACAGTGTACACGGGGCGTCCCACCGCTACTGGAGAAGGTGTTTGGAGCGAGCGCAGTGTGTTGTACACCTGTGCTCGGTAGAACCATGCACTTCGCCTGAAGCATCAGAGCTACATATCACGGCCAGTAGTGTGGTCCCCCAGAGCGTGGACGTCGACCTGAACGAACTGTCGGGCCGAGGACCCATGTGTCGGGCCCTCAACGCGTCCAAGTTCATGGCCCTACAAGGAGTCACGGGACTTTGGGGCACCGGACGCTCATGTGGGCGTTGGATCGCCTCTTGGTGCTGTTGCGGCGGAGCGAAGCACTCGAGGCGCGCTCCGCGCCCGGGTGAGGAAGAAGGGCGCACTCCGCGCCACGATTTGTCAGAGACCGAATCGGAGGAAGAAGACAACCCATGCCAGGCAGATGCGATTGCCTGGAAAGAGGGCACGCAGACGAAAAGGCTCAGCAAAGAGCGCTGCAAAGACGCCGCGTGTTCGTGGGTCAAGCTTCTCAACGATGACGGCATGCAAAGTAGTAGTGGTGAACTACATTGGGATGGACTTCAAGCTAGCTGCCAGTTATGCGCCCGCCACCAAGAGAGCTACGCCCTTTCAAAAACCCGAAGAGCTTGCTCGGTCGAGGGCTGTGGGAAGGTCGCCCAGACCGTAAAGGGAGGGGTCAAACTTTGCAGACTGCACGCCAGCAAGGAAGAACGAGGCCCAACCCCCAAGCCGGGAAACTTCGCTTCTCGGTCACGTGGCCCTCAAGAAGCCAGAAAGAGAGGTCAATCAGCCGTGGCGCGGAGCGCGCCCGGCCGCATTCGCAAGATGCCACACCCAAGCGCGGAACGCAGACGGAGGCAGCTGAACTCCGAGGGATTTCCTCTCCCCCGCGTTTGGACGGAGCCGCCTCAGTTGCCGACTTTCCCGGAGTTGACGCTTCGGTCGAGGATCAGGTACTCACAGGGTTGACCTGGGAGGAGATCGCGGGGATACCGGATGAAGATCTTCGAAAAAGGGCCATATTTCTCAAGCAAAGGGGCGCGATGCCCGGCCCGACTTCGGGTGGACCGGACAGGAGCACCTCCAGAACCGAGGCACCAGACGACAGCCAGGCCTTGTTCGCGTATATGGAAGCGAGGCTCCAGGGGAAGGGGCACGACTCAGCTGTCGAGGTGTCCGAGGTGGACGGCCGGACCCCGTCCGAGAGACAAAGACGTCTCCGGGAACTGGCACGGAGGCATTGCTTACGACTCACCAGGGAATTAGCCCAACCGCAGGCCTCGACAGACGGGCAGCCAAGAGGAGGCTTCTACCTGTGGACCGCTTCGGACCCGGGCCCTCCTTCTCACCACCAGAGCAGGACAAGTCCGTGGGCTGCTCCAGCCCCGGATCGTCCGTGGGCTGCCCCGGCCCCGGATCACCGGCCAACGGCTCAGGCGTTATTCAGGCCAAACCCCGGAGCAGGGGGAGCTGGGGGGTAGAACTGATGCGGTAGACGCGCTGGCCCAGGCCACCACAGGGCTTTCCGAGCAGGAGCCTTTACGGATGCAGAGGCACCCGCAGCAGACGAGACGACTAAAGCCTTTCAGGCGATAGCCAAAAGCCTGACCTCAAAGGAAGACGCCCTCGCACAGGAGCGAGGTAAACTGGCATCAATTGGGCGCCTGGAGGAGAGGCTTGTGTTTCTGCTCCGGGGCTGCGACTCCCTGAGTGTCACTCTCTGCCCCGGCGTGGTAGGATAAAAGAACTCTTTCATGCACTTCGCATCGCCGGGACGCAAGCGAGACCTCAGTTGCGGAAGATCGAGTTCCCCTGCAACATTCAAAACCGGCACAGCTATGGATTTGCGGCCCTGCAACTGGGAGGGAAAACGCTCAACACGCTGCCGGAGTACTGCCTATCGGCCGGAGATTTTCCACTCACCTCGGAGGAAGATTTCGACAACTACGGGGGCTCACCCGACCTCAAACTTGAACGTAAGGGCCGGTACCCTAACACGTTGACCTCATGGTTCAGAGCCGCCCTCCGCCAGTCTTGGGCCTTCGCCTGTCTCTTTGGAGAAGAATATTACCCCGTGCTCGAAAAGGCCGCTTCACATCTGCTTCGCTTAGGGGAACAACATGGCTACGCCTGGTCAGCGTCAGCAGTCTGCGGTGCATGGGAAGAACTTTGGGCCCGTTTCTGCGAAGAAGCACGGGAGTTGGATCGCCGCATTCGCAGAGCCATGCAAGACGAGACTCCTACATTCGCCAGACTAAAGTTCTTCGCCCTGTCCCCTGGCCCAGACGGGCAGCCCTGGCTCCAACTGCCGGGTACCTTTCGCCTTGACGACGATACCCAATACTTCTGCACCGACATGTTGCCGCGAATGCAGCGCCAACTCTCTCGCGCGTGTTGGGCCGGCGCACAGAAGAAGGGCAACACCGGAGGTCGGGCTGCTGGAGAAGGGGATGCCACCGAGGCTCGAACCGAGCCCGGTGTACCTCCACCTCCTAAGGGAGGTCGAGCTGGGGGCGAAGCGGCGGATAAAGCCGCGCCACCGAAACTTCTCGGTCCCAGCCTCACGCCCAAGGAAGCGGCCCGGTCCCTGGACCACCGGCCGAAAGACCAACAGGGCCAATACCTCTGCTGGGACTTCCTGACACATCGCGGGTGTAACAAGGGTAACGGTTGCCCCCACTCACATAAGGCCGCTCCCAAGTGGACGACACTGGACTACACGGTCCAGCTCCAGTTGCTGCGCCGAGGGGGCCTTAAGGGCTCTAAGGCCAAAACGGGGGACGAAGTCGACCGTGAGTTTACCCGGGTTCGGGCGGAGCAAGCTGCGAAAGCCGCCGCTGCTAAGCAGGAAGGTATCGCCGCTGCCAAGGCCAAGGTTTCTGCCACCCAGAGGACCAATCAAGCTGCGGGCACGGGCAACGCTGACCGCACCTCTCGGGCGGGAGAACGAGTACCCGAACAGACAAACCCTTGGCGCACTTCTCAAAGACGAAGGCAGCAACTGGTGGCGCGACGTCGACGCTGCCGCCGCTACTCTTACCTGCCCTAGTTCAAAGTTTGAGAAGTCAGCCCGCCCTGGGGCCTTACCCCCCTGGACTGGTGGGCGTCTACCTGCGCAATCGCCTTCTACGCCTCCGCGAGGAAACGGGCCGTGCCCCTGAGCTTGAGGATGTTACGCACCTGTTGGAGGAAGCCGTCTCCCTGGGTGGACCAGAGCTGTCTGAAGAGGCCGCCCACCTCCTTGAGGAACGCGGCGTCCACCGCAAGGCCGGCGAGTCCCCACTGGTGCAGCTTTCGGGTCTTACATGGAATTCCTCCATCGGGGCCGGAACGCTCACCTGGAAGGGCGTCGGTCACTGGGCCATGTACGACTACCAGGACCAGCTTCCCCTCTCCTCGGAGGCCTGCGAACGGATGGGATTTGCCGCCGTCTGCGACGAGCCTAAGCAGTGTTTGTTGCTGCACGTTGCCGCCGCTTATCTCGCCACACAACGCCCGATGCGGTTTGGGCTCTCGCCTCTGAGTGGAGAGTCCGGTGGTGCTCGCAGGCACGAGTCGCCGAGGACTCTCTGGGGCCAACGCCCGAACGGCTCACCCAGGCCGAAGCGGATGTCCGAGTGTTCCACCACGACCTTCTCCATTTTGGGCACGACCGCGACTACCGTACTTTGGTTGCCCACCCTTTGGAGGAGTGGGATTGCCTGGGCTTGGCCGTCCTGCGCCTCGACGCATATATGCGGCCCAGCGTGGAGGTTGTCTGTGGCCGCGGTTACAGCGGCAAAGCTGAGGACACCCGGTGGGTGATGGTGCACCGTGGCCACATGAGCTTGCTGGTTTTCGACGAGTCCTGCTTGCCGCCCTTGGGGCCAAGCGGGCGCCCGGTTCGTTTCGGACGGGGGGTGAGGCCGGGGCGTTTGGGTTACAGGTTTTGCGCGCAGGTCGTGGCCACTCTGTCGAGGCCCGTTCCGGGCCCGACACGCACACCGCTGCTCCCGCCGTTTCGACCACGTCCGTCGACTGGCCGCTGCTCTCCTGTCTGCCCCCCGCAGGCCAGCCCCTCCCGCTGCTGGTGTTCCATGGGGCCTTCCACGGCTCACGCCGCCTCCGATTGTGCCTGGGGACCTTTGCCAGCCGCTCTGACATACATTACTGAAGGAGGCGTCTCTTGCCTCTGGCTACTCCCCGCCGCGCTGCCGCCGGGTCCGCCCGCCGACGAGTGGTCTTCCGTTTTGCGGCTGCCGCCGCGCAGTTGCAAACAGGGGGCGTTGCGTGCTCGAGGCTCCCCTCTACCGGCGGGCTTGGACCGACAAGGCCACACGCATCCAACTGGCCGGCGCGTGTTGGCATGCCGAACGCCTGCCCAGCCCCCTGTTGGGCCCGGCCGGCGGAGTTACTATGTTGCGCGCGTCTTTCTGCGTGCCCCCTGGGCTCGCCGCGCTTTGTAGTACCGGGGGGGGGGAGGAGGATTTTGCTTCAAAAATGCAAAGGCTGAAGATCGTTCTTGATAACCCTGCGGGGGAGGCTGAGCGAAAAAGCCAAGAGGCCGACCTCTCAGAGGGAACAGGTGACTCCGTCAGGTGCGGAAAGCTGTTCGCTGACTCTGGCCCGCTCTTGGGGCCTCCGCCGTCCTGGCTGCCTAAGAGCCTCTCCAAAGAAGCGGAGGAGGCGGCTGAGGCCTACCTGCGGAAGGTGCACCAGGTCGAGTACTCTTTGGAGGCTTGGAATGGTGCCGTGCAGGCGGGCACGACCCTCCTCAGGCTTTGTGGAGGATGGAAGGAGACGGTGGGAGCGCTGCGCTACGCGTGGAGGGCTCGGGGAGAAGATCACTTCGCAGGGCTTTTCGATCACCACCTCGACAGTCACCTTCCGGAGGATCTCCTTGCGTGGGTTAGAAGAGTTGCCCAGGAAGGGGTAAAGGCCGAGTACCGTGGCACGCAGCGTGCCCGGGTTAAGGCCACCCCGCATCCCTCTCTCTTAAGGATCATGTGGAAGAAGCTCGGCAACTAATCTGGCAGGACGCCACGCGAGGACGAGTGCTCTTGATGAGCCCCGGCCCCGATGAAGAGGACCTGTTAGATGGGGTGGTATCTGTACCATTGGCAAGAGTGCCGAAGTACAACCCAGACAGGTCAGTCTCCTCCAAAGGGAGAGTAATATGGGACGCCAGAGTCGTTAATGAGCTTTGCCATAAGGACGACCATTTTCCAGCCATCCAACCCAGATACGCGGAGGTAGTAAGGCTGGTGATGTGGTACAAGAGCCGGTACCCCGGCGTCCGCATCTTATTGGCGAAGAAAGACGTCTCAGAAGCCTTTAAGTGGCTTTGGGTCGAACAGGACGACTGCAGGCTTTTCGGAGCGGATCTCCCCACTGAAGGGACTACCCGGGACAGCCGTGGCGACGCTTCGCGCCCGGTTACGGTCTTGTACCTCGCAATGACGTTTGGATGGACTGGGGCCCCAGGAGAGTTCATGGCTTTCGCATGGGCGATCAAGTTGCTCCACAGGGCATGCGGGCCCGACCGGCCCGAGTGGCACGACTCGTCCTCCTTCCGGTCGCTCGCTTTAATGGACGACTCGGTTGTGATCGAGCCCGACTTGGGCCTACGCCCTCAGCTGTCGGTCGACGCTTTGGAAGAAGCGATCCGACAGACTTTGGGGCCACTCGCCATCAATGCGGCCAAAGACGTCGAAGAGGGGACCCTCAATTGATTTGGGGCCTAGAGTTCGATACAGAGGCCGGAACCTGTCGGCTCCCACCTCTCAAGGTCGAGCGAGCCTACCACGTCCTCCAGTCCCCGTACTTCGACGCCGGCCAGACCAAGGTACCGCTCAAAGAAGTCCAGGTGCTGCGGGGCTCTCAACAGTTCTGGCTAGGGGTCCTCCCGCAACTCGCCCCTTACCTCCAGAGCACTAATGCGCTTTTGGGACCCGCCGACCGAGAAGGACATGTCGTCCTACGCGGGAATGAGGCAGATCAGTCCGCACAGTGGGAAGCATTCTGGAGCGCCATCGAGCTGCAAAGGCTGCTGGTCGGTTCGCGGCAATTTTGGGAAGCGCGCTTCGTCTCCCAGCTCGAGCACGCCCTCACCACGCCTGAACTCTTGGCCCTACCAGAGGTCAAGCGCAACCTGGTCTGGGTGTCAGCTGACGCCACGCCCACCCGGCATCGACTGGACCGCGAGGGTTGCAGTAGCTTGCGCCGCAGCTCCCCTCTTATCGCCCCTTGAAGCCAACGCCCAGGATCCCACCGACCTCGAGGCTCGTACCGAGCCCGAGGAGGAGTTGGCGCAAATAGGCGTCGCGGAATTGCTGGCCTTGCTCGTGTTAGTAGTCGCCAGAAAGGAAGCCTGGGCAGGCAGCGTGGTTCTGTACTTGGGAGACAACACCAATGTGCAAGATTGGCTGCGCAAGCGGCACGCCGGGAATGCGCAAGCTAACCACCTCCTGAAAGTCTTGGGAGCGCTAGAGGGGGTCCATGGCCTACAGGTGAGGGGGGCATACCTTCGCACTTACCACAACCAAACCGCCGACGACCTGACCCGGCTTGACCCCGACAAAGTCATGGAGCAACAGGGGCTGACTCGCCTCAGTGTTCCAGACGATTGGGGCCGAGTGCTGGAAGAAGCTTGGCACCGCAGAGCCCTCTTGTGGGTAGGCCAACCAGACTCCGATCGGCAGATGGCCCTGCAGCTCGCCACACGGAGGATTGGACCGGCCCCTCCACGGGCCATGCCCGCGTTCGGTTGGAAGGTGCACGAGCTCGGTGCTTCGGAGCACGGCGTGTACACCCGAGCTTTCTTTGCCGCCGGAGGCTTGAAGCACGACCCCCAAGACTCCTTAGCCGCTTTGGAAGGGGCACCCACCGTGGAGCGTTCCGCTCCCGGTGAGGAGGAAACCCCGACGCAGGAAGAACGTCTGCTTTGCGTCGCCACCGTGACTGGCGAAGCGGAGGCGCGACGGGTAGTGTCTGGCGTGCCCGCGCAGGCCGCGAGCATTTGGATAGACTCTTTCCGACCACTCGCGGTCGAAGCAATTTGCACGGAAGATGCCCAGAACCGCTGGGAATGGTGGACGGAGGAGTTCACCGGCCGCACCTTTAAAGAACAGGTGTGGTGGCACCGCTGGGTGTTGGTTGCTGTAAACCCCGGTGCAGGACAGGAAGCACGCGCTGCGACGGATGAAAAAAGGGCCGCTCTCGAGCCCTGCACGCCACCCCTGCACACGTACGCCACCCACTGGTTGGACCCCAAACCCAAGGCTGGCTGGGTTGAAGGGACGGTGCACCTTGACCCCACTTTCCCCTTCCTTGGGTTGAAGTCCCCCAAACCCTGTGGGACGTTCGTACCCAGACGGGGTCACGCGCTCTTGTTTGGGACCCCGCCAAGCCCATGCCCCCACTGCACGATGGCTCCTGGGACCCCTGTCGAAGGGATGCGCTGCATTTGTTGAGCCATGGGGAACAAGGGGTACAGGTTCCCAGAGCATCCGATATTGATTTTTTTCAATCGAACGCTTGATTTTTTCAAAAATTCAAAACCCTATTGATTTTGGTGTTTTTCAATCGAATCGCATGCTGTTGTTGGGTCGGGTTCGATTGATTTCTGACATTGCATTCTATTGATTTTATCGTGGCCTAGTTTCAGGATTCTCGATTGATTTCACGACTGTCTCCTCGATTGATTTTAGAATGGATTTTCTATTGATTTTATTTGTGATTCTCTATTGATTTTATTTGTGATTTTCTATTGATTTTATTTGCGATTTTCTATTGATTCTATGGTCGATTTTCTCTTGAAATTATTGCTATTGAAATTACTGGATTGCATGATCTAGCTAAAGTTTAAAGCATATGTGCACATGCAGAGAAACACATGCAACACGTTTGTTCTAGTGCCCCGATTCATCACGGCTAGGTCGATGTTCGCTGTCTATGTGGGTTGGACAGCCCAGGATCTATGCTGGATTTTGTAGAACATGCAGGAAGGAAGCTTATTTGATTGTATGGTGTTTAAAGCATGTGCACATGCAGAGAAACACATGCAACACGTTTGTTATAGTGCCCCGATTCATCACGGCTAGGTCGATGTTCGCTGTCTATGTGGGTTGGACAGCCCAGGATCTATGCTGGATTTTGTAGAACATGCAGGAAGGAAGCTTATTTGATTGTATGGTTTTCTGTGCAGGTGTAGCGGTTCAAGCGAGAGGCAAACCTGTAGGAACCATGTCCCCCAAACGGGAGAATGGTCCGGGCCGAGGAGGTCCAAGGAACTTCCCAAAGGCGGATGTGTGTTCGCAGACATTGGGAGAAGCCTTGAAGGAGTATGTGAGGAACGCAGGGCTGGCAAGAAGCTTCGAGTTGTCGCCCTACGGGCACCTGCAACGAAGCGCTGCAGCGAGTGGTCGGGGGCTGGTCAAAGCCCTGGACTTGATCACCGCCTGCCACGAGGTTGAAGAGTCCCTTCAGTTCAAGTTCAATGATATAAAGGAAGCCCTGCAGCTTGTTATGTGTTATTTTGGAGATGATTTAGGAAAAGGAGAGAGGGCCAGGAAGACGAGCGAGACGCTGATGACAGTCTTCACCCATGCCCGCAGGATGAAAGACGAAGTGCGGTACCGTGAGGCTTCTTCCAAACTCACGAATCACGAGAAGGCCCTGCTCGCAAAGGTAAGGAACATGGTTGTAGGAAACGATGAAGGAAGTGTGACTTCCAAGGAGAAGGCAAAGGAGCAGGAGGAAAGGGAGGAGGAAGTGGAAGATGTCAAGAAAAAGAGAAAGAAAGTGGAGGAAGAGGATCCCATCCCGCAGACACCCAAGCGACGTGTCTCTGGGGTGGATTATTTGGACAAAATCAAGGCCATGGAGATCCCGCAGACCCCGCAGACCCCGTCGACCGTGAAGGGCTCTTTCAGCCAGGCTGCCAACGACTGCTCGCCAGTTCCTGCAAAGAAAGCAGACTTGAAGGAGCACGTGATGAAGAAGCCGAGCTCTAAGCAGGACTGAAATAACCAGTTTGTTTGGTTTACAATGCTTGAAAACCCTGAATCCTAAACTTTCCAGGATCTGAAGACAAAAGGAAAGGCAGCCGCAAAGGAGGCCGAGCCCACGAAGAAGCAGGATTGACATAACAGTTTGTTTGGTTTACAACTAATGCTTGAAAACCCTGAATCCTAAACTTTCCAGGACCCGAAGAAAAAAGGAAAGGCAGCCGCAAAGGAAGTCGAGCCCACGAAGAAGAAGGAGGATGGAGATAGTTTAAGAAACATAAAACACTGTATCCTAAACTCGTAGAAGCTAGGATGGAGACAGTTTAAGAAACATAAAACACTGAATCCTAAACTCGTAGAAGCTAGATCTGGCAAGGCCAAGGATGGAAAGAAGAAGAGACGCCGGTATCCGCCCATGCAAAGCTTGACCAAGGACATCCCTGTCCGCGATAGGCATGTATAGCTGTTATGGTTAAACCAACATGTATCAGTACATGGCAGGAGCAGGTGAAGAAGTTGATCATCATGGATTACAAGGGCCGTGCTGCAAGTGCTTTGAGGATTGGACCTGATGGAAGACAGCGGCTGGGACTTGAGTGCATCTTTTTCATGTTCAGTTTGCCAGTCTGCCCTGTAGGATTTCTAGCTTGGAAAAGGGGCTTAGCACCACGATTGCTTCAAAACTACCGAGGGTCATTCAAGTCCAGACCAAGAAGCTCGAGGATGCCAGAACAATGATCGAGAAGTTGCTCAAGGAGCTCAGGAATGGCACAACCTTGGATGAGGTTAGGACCATGAAGAGACGCTTGCTGAGCAAGCTGTGATCGGACGGATGGCGGCATCCGTATTCATCGCCCTGCCGTGTGAAACAAACATTCGGATTCCGTGAGTTTCCATTAATTCATAATATATATCTAGCCCGAAATGTTTAAAGTAAATTGCTACCCCCGCCCACCCCCCCCCCCCATGTACCGCAAAAAATCGTTACACCTTCAACCCTCAAACCCGAAACCATCATGG